CCGTGACCCCCACACCATGTGTACTAAACATAATACCCCTCAATCCCATTCTCCCTCCCTCCCCACCCGCCCTCCCACACCCCTCCCCTTTGGTAACCACTAGTTCATTCTTGGAGTCTCCAAGTCTGCTGCTATTTTGTTCCTTCAGTTTTGCTTCATTGTTATACTCCACAAATGAGGGAAATCATTTGGCACTTGTCTTTCTCAGCCTGGCTTATTTCACTGAGCATAATGTCCTCCAGCTCCATCCATGTTGTTGCAAATGGTAGGATTTGTTTCTTTCTTATGGCTGAATAGTATTCCATTGTGTATATGTAGCACATCTTCTTTAGCCATTCATCTACTGACGAACATTTAGGTTGCTTTCATATCTTCGCTTTGTAAAAAGTGCTGCGATAAACAAAGGGGTGCATATGTCTTTTTGAATCTGAGAAGATGTATTCTTTGGGTAAATTCCAAGGAGTGGGATTCCTAGGTCAAATGGTATATCTATTTTTAGTTTTTTGAGGAACCTCCATACTGCTTTCCACAATGGTTGAACTAGCTTACATTCCCACCAGCAGTGTAGGAGGGTTCCCCTTTCTCCACATCCTCACCAGTATTTGTTGTTCTTAGTCTTTTCAATGCTGGCCATCCTTACTGGTGTGAGGTGACATCTCATTGTGGTTTTAATTTGCATTTCCCTGATGATTAGTGATGTGGAGCATCTTTTCATGTGTCTGTTGGCCATCCGAATTTCTTCTTTGGAAAACTGTCTCTTCATATTCTCTGCCATTTGTTAATTGGGTTATTTCCTTTTTGGGTGTTGAGGCATGTAAGTTCTTTATATATTTTGGATGTTAACCCCTTGTTGGATATGTCATTTACAAATATATTCTCCCATACTGTAGGATACCTTTTTGTTCTGTTGATCGTGTCCTTTGCCGTACAGAAACTTTTTAGTTTGATGTAGTCCCATGAGTTCATTTTTGCTTTTGTTTCCTTTCTCGAGGAGATGCATTCAGGAAGAAGTTGCTCATGCTTATATTCAGGAGACGTTTGCCTTTGTTGTCTTCTAAGAGTTTTATGGTTTCATGACTTACATTCAAGTCTTTAATCCATTTTGAGTTTGCTTTGTGTATGGGGTTAAACAATAATCCAGTTTCATTCTCTTGAATACAGCTGTCCAGTTTTGCCAATACCAGCTGTTGAAGAGGCTGTCATTTCCCCATTGTATGTCCATGGCTCCTTCATCATATATTAATTGACCATTTATGCTTGGGTTTATATCAGGGCTCTCTAGTCTGTTCCATTGGTCTATGAATCTGTTCTTGTGCTAGTTCCAAATTGTCCTAATTACTGTGGCTTTGTAGTAGATCTTGAAGTGGGGGAGTGTTGGGAGCCGCCTTTGTCTTCTCACATATTTGTGGGCAGAATGGGAAAGCACCTTCCCCCATGTCTGAATGCAGCATGGGAAAGCACAAGCTTGAGAACAGCCGGTGCAGTCCTTGGAAGTTATCTGCCCACAAAAACACATCTTGTCCTTGAAGACGAGCCAAGACTCCTCACTCTGAAAATAGGGAGACCTTGAGGATGTGTGAAAACACCGCCCCTACTTCTGGCCTGCCTTCCCCCACTTGCTGGAATGGAGAACAAAGAATACCCTGTTTACGCATTTCATGAGCAACTGACGGAACCCTGCTGAACCTACCTTTGCCCAGTTACCACTGATGTCAATACTGTGCTTGATTGTTTATTGGATAATGCTATTTCCTGGAATAGTGTGCTTCTTTGCTGTATAAATACCCTAGACCTTCAATAAAGTTTTGCTGGCGACGCGAAGGAGCGTCAGCCCTCCCCACCTCTCTTGTATCCTTTATTCCGGTCTCCTCACGTCCTTCGGTAGCTCTGTTTGACTGTTGCGGCTGGACCGTGACAGGGGAGCATAATCCCCCCAGCTTTATTCTTCCTTCTCATAATTGCTTTGGCTATTCGAAGTCTTTTGGGCTTCCATACGAATTTTAGGATGATTTTCTCTAGTTTGTTAAAGAATGCTGTTGGTATTTTGATATGAATTGCATTGAATCTATAGATTGCTTTAGGCAGGGTGGCCATTTTGACAATATTAATTCTTCCTAGCCAGGAGCACGGGTTGTGTTTCCATTCATTGGTATCTTCTTTAATTTCTCCCATGAGTGTCTTATAGTTTTCAGAGTACAGGTCTTTCACTTCCTTGGTTAGGTTTATTCCTAGGTATTTTATTCTTTTTGATGCAGTTGTGAATGGAATTGTTTTCCTGATTTCTCTCTCTGCTAGTTCATTGTTGGTGTATAGGAATGCCACAGATTTCTGTGTATTAATTTTTTATCCTGCTACTTTGCTGAATTCAGATATTAGATCTAGTAGTTTTTGAGTGGATTCTTTAGGGTTTTTATGTACAATTTCATGTCATCCTGCAGGCTGTTTTTCAAGTTACCAGAATCCCTTTGCAATGAACTGTTCTATTTCTTTTACTTGATACCACTTGTCACCAGTAAGCAAGCATTTTAAGGAATCTGTGACCACAAAGCAGAATATTTTTTACTTGGTAAAGTAGAATTACTCACAACCAATCATATCCTCACCCTCACTCAGCTTCATTAGTTATGATCAGCTGAATAGGGGCTCATGAGCTGGAATACCTGGGTTCAAATCCTGCCTCCATCATTTCTTACTAACTCTGAAAATTGGACAAGTTACTCTGCTTCCTCTATGCCTCAGTTTCCTCATATTTAAATTAGGATAATAATACTACCTATCCCACAGGGCTGTTATATGGATTAAGTATGTTATTCCATACAAGGTTTTTAGAACAGCATCTGACTCATGAAAGAACTCAATAGATAATATCTAAAATGCACACATATACACAGCCACAAAGTCAAGCAAGTTTAATGGGTAAGATAAATTTGAAAGAAGCTTGGTACTTATTCCCATATTTTAACCTTGAGAAAGACCTGGCAAAGAAAAACTAACAAAGTGCCCAGAGACAACTGTGATAGGAAGTATGTTCTGCCCCAGAAGCCACAGCAGAGACTGTAATTTGTGGTCCTGTGTCTACATCGAAGAGGCTGCAGTCTGAGCTCTGAGCAGAGCAGCTGGGGTAGAAGAGGTGCTGAGTACATACTGAGCAGTGAGGACAGCTGGGGCCACCTCCATCACTACTGCTACTTCTCCTACTGGACTGGCTTAAAGATGGCCTATCACAAAGGTGAAAAACCTGGAAAGTAGATAATATTTTTGAGTTAGGACAGGTTCTTCCTCGGGCAGGATGTTGAGGATTCCATGTCACTGCCTCTGCTGCTGAGACCTCTTGGCCAAGCAGGTACTCTGAGTGTTGAGAGCCATGCTGAGTCCCCTCTAAGCAATTAGTGCATTATTGTAATTATAGATAGTTTTCTAGAGAGCCACTAAATGGCACCCTGATGACTAGAGAAAAATAATGCTCAGCCCTATACACCTAACTTCCTATTAGAGAATTACTTAGACACTGGAGACAATCTTGCTCATTAATAAATCAATTTATTTATGTTCTCTAATCCAGACTATGAGTAGCTTACCCATACACTGACCCTTGAATTTATAAACGTTTTTCTTTTTTCCCCTCTTTGTCTCTTTATTTTTTTAATAGCTTGATTGAGGTATAATTGACATGCAATAAACTGCATATATTTTAAGCATACAATTCGGTAGGTTTTGACCCATACAGACATCTGTGAAACCATCACCACCATCAAGTTAATGAAACTATCATATCCATCACCCCCTTAATTTTTGTTATGCCCATTTGTAACCCCTCCCTTCTACCTCTCATGGTCCCTGGCAGAATCCTGGATGATCAGCAGCAATCACTGATTTGCTTTCTGTCATTATGTATTAGTTTGAGTTTTTTTTAGAACTTTGCATAAATGGAATCATGGAATGGATAGATTTTTTTGCCTTATTCACTGGCTGAGACCTCTGGTATGATATTGATTAGGAGTAGTAAGAGCAGAGAGCCTTTCATGTTGTTGATGTTGAGGGGAAAGCAATCAGTCTTTTACCCTCAGCTGTTGATTTTTTTCTTACATAATCTTTAAGGAAGTTCTCTTTTATTTCTTGTTTGATAAGAGGGTTTTTCTTTTAATTAGAATAGACACTGGGTTTGTCAAATACTTTTTCTCCATCTATTGAGGTGACAGAGTAAGTTCATTGAAAGGATGCAGTACATTGACTTGAATGCTAAACCAACTAGCTTGCATTCCAAGGTAAACTTAATTTGATCCTGATGTATTATTCTTTTTATCTGTTGTTGGCCTTGGTTTGCTAAAATTATGTTTAGAATTTTTGTATCTATATTCATGAAGAATATGGGTTTGCAGTATTCTCTTCTTGCAATGTCTTTGGTTTTAGTATCAAAATAATGTGCTGGCCTCATAGAATGAGTTGGCAAGTATTACCTCCTCTTCAGTTTTCTGGAAGAGTATTTTAGAATTAGTATTATTTCTTCCTTGAATGTTTGGTAGAATTTACCATAGGAATTTACATTTGGAACTGAAGATTTAGGGGTGGGTTGGAGAAGGTTTTTAATTACCAGATCTGTGTCTTCATTTCCTTAATAATATAGGTTTATGTATTTTTTTCTTGGATGAAAAGACTTTATTTTTCAAGGAGTTTGTTTTATCGAAGCTTCTTAATATATTGCCATAAAGTTGTTTGTAATATTCCCTTATTATTATTGTAATATTTATAGAATCTATGATAATGTCATCTCTTTCATTTCTGTTATTGGTAATTGGTACTCATTAATTATTCTCTTTTTATCCTGAAAAATAATATGAGTTTCCTGGATATTCTTTCAATATTCCTTGTCAGCTTTGTTTCAAAACTGTAATCTGAGTTCTCAAATTTCCTGCCCTCAAATGCAGTCTTTAGTCATTACACTTTTCATACTGAACACTACTCAAAATTCCTTTGACCCAGTAAGAAAAAATTAGCAGCATTCTAGATCTGCACTGTCCAATTAAGTAGTCAGTCACTAGCCTCATGTGGCATTTAAAATAAATGGAAAATTAGTTCCTGCATTCTGTCAGTTACTGAGAGAGGAGTACTAGAATATCCACTACAATTCTGGGCTTTTCTGTTTTACCTTGAAGTTCTATCAGTTCATGTATTTTGATGCTCTATTATTAGGCTCATTAATGTTTAGCATTGTATATTATCTCAATAAATTGCCCCTTTATTATTACAAAATGATCTCCTTATCCCAGGAAGTATTTTGTTGTTCTAAAATCTACTTCACTTGATAGTAATGTGCTAGTAGTTAGTATAGATAGAATAGTAGTGGTATAGATAGGAGTTAATTGAATTTTCCTTTATATGGTTTTATCTTGGTATATCTTTTTGTATCCTTTAAATTTAATCCATGTCTGTCTTTATATATAAAGTCAGGTTCTTCTAGGCAACGTTTATTTAGCCCTGATAATCTTTACCTTTTAATTGGAGTATTTAGATTGTTTGCATTAAATGTGATTATTGATATGGTTTACATATATCATCTTGTTTTCTATTTTTCCCATCTCTTCTTTGCTCTCCATTTCCTTTTTTCTGCCTTATTGTGGATTATCAAATTTTTTATGGTTCTGAATTACCTCCTTAGTTGGATTATTAGTTATAATTTTCTATTTTGTTGTTTCAGAGTTTATAGTATATGTCTTTAAACTGGTCACACTGTACTTTAAGTTGACATTGTATCACTTCATATAGAGTAGAGGACTTTTCAGTGGCATACCTCCATTTCCTCCTTTCTGGTCTTTGTGCTACCATTTTACTAGCACACATTTTACTTTCATATGTTATAAGCTACATATTACATTGTAATTAATTTTTTTAACCATTTAATTTCTTTTAAATAGATTTAAATAATAAGGGAGTAAACTTTACATATTCACCCAAGCAATTATCATTTCTGGTGTTCTTCATAACTTTTTGTTCACCTTTATTTCCATCTGGTTTCATATTCTTCCTACCTGAACACTAACATTTTCTGTAGGGTATGTCTGTTGGTGAATCCTGCTAGCTTTCATATGCATGAAAATATTATTAATTTGCCTTTGTTTTTGAAAGGTGTTTTCACTAAGTATAGAATTCTATGTTAATAGTTTTATTTTTCCTTTCAGTAGTTTACCTGTGTCACTCCACTGTCTTTTCACTTGCATTGTTTCCAGTGAGACCTCTGTCATTTTTATCTTTGTTCTATTTTTTGTAACTTCTTTCTCTGGCTGCTTTTAATGTTTTCCTTTTTATCACATGATGTGCCTTGATGTTTTCTTCATGTTTCTTATGTCTGAGGTTCATTGAACTTCTTGGATCTATGGATTTAGTTTTTGCCAAATTTAGAAAAATTTCAGCCCTGTGTTTTTCCCCCATCCTCACCTTCACAACTCCAATTACACATATATTAGTCTGCTTTGAAGTTGTTTCACAGATTACTGATGCTCTCAGCTCATTTTTTAAAAATTGTCTTTTCTCTATGTTTCATTTTGGATAGTTTCTCTTGCTATGTGTTTAAATTCACTAATCTCTTCTTTTACAATGTGTAATTTGCCAATAGTCCCATCTAGCATATTTTCCATTTTACACATTGTAGTTAAAAATCTCTAGAAATTTGATTTGTGCCTTTTAACATCTTATTTTTTGAACATATGAATGCAATTATACCTGCTAACTCAAACATCTGTGTCAGTTCTGTATCAATTTAAATGGGCTGATTTTTCTCCTTATTATAGGTCATATTTTTCCCTTTTTTTTTGCATGCCTGGTAATTTTTTATATATTCTGGACCTTGTGAATTTTACCTTTTGGGGTGCAAGTATTTTTGTATGCCCACAAACACACTTGAGTTTTATTCTGGAATGTAGTTACTCGGAAATGGTCTGATCCTTTCAATTCTTGCTTTTAATATTTGTTAGACCTAGAGTAATTTAAGGCTAGGAATATGTATTCCCCACTACTGACACAAGACTTTTCTGTGTACTGTTATGTAGTTCCCCATGAATCCTGAGGGTTTCTAATATGGTTGGTAAGAATAGACACTATTCTCAGCACTATGTGAGTACCAGGCAGTGTTACCTCTAAACTTTTCAAATGTTCTTTTTCTTAACTCAAGTAATTTTGCCCACACGTTCTACTCAAGCCTCAACTAAGGCAGACCCTCTGCACATCTCTGTAGTTTTTGCTCTGTGCAGCTCTCTCCTCTCTGGCACTCTGACCTGTAACCACCAGCCACCTTGATGTCCCTGGATACCAGCTCCACCATCTCTTCAACTCCAGGAAGCTACTGGAATCTAACTGAGTTTCTTCTCCCTGTAGCACAACCTGGAAATTCCTCAGTAAGCTGGGCCAATTGTAGAGCACACTTATTTGCTTTCCATCTCTCAAGGCTTACTGTCCTTTGTTGCCTTACATCCAGTGTCTTGGAAACCATCATTTCATATTTTTGTCCCTTTCTTGGTTGTTTCATATTGGAGAGAAAATCTAGTCCCTGATGCTGCATTTTTGGTGAATGTGGAAGCTCCATCAATTTTTCTCTAAGTATACTGTTACTATTTCCATTTAGTTGACAAATTATCTAGCCTCTTGCCATTAGGTACAGTCTGTTGAATGCCTGGGATGTGGTCTATTGCATCTAGCTTTTGTATGAATCTCTGGGAGTTACTTTAGAAATTAACAATATGATCTGGAGTGTGTTTTATTTCCCTAAAGTCTTTGTTTCCTTCCTTCACCACTTAGCTGATGACTCTCTTCTAATGGGTTCTTCCCTTACATTTGTAACACATGTGTCAAGTAGGCTAATTGCTCATAACACCAGCACTTTTAAGTTGTTATTGATTTTTTTCCATCACTTAAATAAATATATGCATGAAACCATTTACTTGATTAAGTATATAATAACTAATGTCCTTGTCTAAAGAACAAGGACATATGGTGCATTAGGAGACAAAAATTTCTGAACCATATATAACATGACAATAAACATGGTGAACACAACCAAAATTAATATTATTGAGAACCTCTTTTTGGCCAAGTACTGAGATGGATTTCCCCCCACTACATTGTCTTAATTAATCTTTATCTTATAAGGTGCACATCTCCCATGCCACTTTTGCAGGCAAGGCAATTGTGTTTCATAGTGTTTAAGTAATTGCTCAAAGTCCTTCAACTTATAAGTAA